GCCCTCTGTCCAAGGCCTTTCATTACCATAGCTGTTACCCTTGTATGAAGTAACAGAACTCTGACCTCAGTGTGATCAGGCTCCGAAAGGTCATCCAGGCCCTCAGGTTTGTCCACTCCTGGTAGATTCTTGCTCCCAGCAGACCTGGTCGTCAGAGCTGCTTTAGTGGAGTGGGCAGAGGTTTGTTTCAGAGACACTCACCTGGGAACCACGTCATGTCCAGTCCTCTTTGTCCTGGGAGGGACCTTCATCCCTGGGAGGAGGAGCATAGAAGGTGATGCTCCTACCTTATCTGAAGCGTCCGAGGCTCAAATACTGCATTACACTTCCTCTGCTCATTATTCCATCAGGGATTTCTCATCACTATGCTTATAGGGGCCCACGTCCTGCAGGAAAGAGATTTGAGCATGAAAGAGATTGAAGACTGACTTCCTGCCTGTCCCCACACCACCATTAAATCCCACAGTTGAGTGTGATGTGGCTCTGTACAAGTTTGCTTGGCTAGCATTGTAGAATGTTGTGTTTCATCCTCAAGATATCGTTAATGGAGACAGAGTGAAAGATGGTTATGTAGGTAAATAGATAGGTAGATACAAGATACATGAGCATGAAAGAGATTGAAGACTGACTTCCTGCCTGTCCCCACACCACCATTAAATCCCACAGTTGAGTGTGATGTGGCTCTGTACAAGTTTGCTTGGCTAGCATTGTAGAATGTTGTGTTTCATCCTCAAGATATCGTTAATGGAGACAGAGTGAAAGATGGTTATGTAGGTAAATAGATAGGTAGATACAAGATACATAATGAGTAGCTAGTGGATGATATAGATTGATGATGGTTTTGTAGAGATATATTAGGTATATAAATGTAGATGATCGATGTATTAGATAGGTGGATAGATCGATGGATGGATGGATCGATGGGTTGGTGGGTGTATAGATGGATGGATGGATAGATAGATAGATAGATAGATAGATAGATAGATAGATAGATAGATAGATAGATACAAAGATAGATAAATTGTAGATGGATAGATACTGGATGATACATTGATGCTGGTTAGGTAGAGAGATGATAATGATGCTGGTTAGGTAGAGAGATGATAGATCAATAGATGTAGATGAGCCGGGCGTGGTGGCGCACAGCTGTAGTCCCAGGACTTGGGAGGCAGAGGCAGGCAGATCTGTGTGAGTTCAAGGCCAGCCTGGTATACTTAATGAGTTCCAGGACAGCTAGGGGTTACAGGGAGACCCTGCTTCAAAAAGACCAAAACGAAAAAGATATCCATAGAAGATTGACAGATAGATTTAGATGGATTAGAGAGATAGAGAGAGAGAGATGATTTAGATAGAGAGATAGATACAGAGAGAGAGTGAGAGAGGTAGAATAGGTATATAGGTAGGTAGTTTATATATTGTAGACACAATGATACTAAGTAGACAGATGACAGATGATAGACAAATATTTGGTACATTAAAGGGTAGGTAGGTGACAGAGACAATAAAGTTTTCATGACAGAATATCATGGACAGACCGAGTTAACAGCAGATCTTCATCCATGGCCACACAGGTGCTTCTAAGGCCTCTCTTCCTGCAATCTGGCATCTACCTGTGTCCTTGCATGACTGTGTCTTGCATGACTGTCCCTGCTGCAGCCATCTCTCTGGTCCCCACCCTTTCCACCTCTTACAGTGACGTCTGCCATGTAATTAGTTGAGGGACACCTCAAGGACCACATTGTGGTTATGTAGATAAATAGATAGGTAGATAGAAAGATAGATAATGAGTAGCTAGTGGATGATATCGATTGATGATCGTTTTCTAGAGATACATTAGGTAAATAAATGTAGATGATAGATGGATGGATGGATGGATGGATGGATGGATGGATGGATGGATGGATAGATAGATACATAGATAGATACATAGATACATAGATAGATACATAGATAGATACATAGATACAAAGATAGATAAATTGTAGATGGATAGATACTGGATGAAACACATTGATGCTGGTTATGTAGAGCAATGATAGATCATGATGCTGGTTAGGTAGAGAGATGATAGAGCAGTAGAAGTAGATGTACCAGGCGTCGTGGCCCACTGCTGTAGTCCCAGGACTTGGGAGGCAGAGGCAGGCAGATCTCTGTGAGTTCACGGCCAGCCTGGTCTACATAGTGAGTTCCAGGACAGTTACAGGGAGACCTTGTCTCAAAAAGACTGAAAAAAAAACAAAAGAAAAGAAGGGAAAAAAGTTAAAGGTACCCTTAGCTCATGCGTGGTACACAGCTGTGTGACAGCCAGATTAAATACCCCTACACACACGCCAGCCACACACACCTGCCACACTCACCTATTATCATCCCAATACCCCATGACCCCTTGGTGAGTCATTCGATACTCTCTCCCAGTCACTCCATTTTTGGCTACAGCCGTCTCTTGTCTGAGCAGGGCTGTGAATAACTCCAGTTATGTGGCAGGGACACCCTGGGTTTTTGCTTAGGGTCATAGAGAACCAGGACTCGGACTCTGATCGCCTTTTCCAAGGAGACCCCCTCCTTCCCACTCCAGGGCTCCCTAGCCACTTCCCTGCTGGTCCCCAGCAGCCTCTCTCCTGCCTTTTCTCCTGGCCCATTGTCTGTGTCTCAACTCCAGCAGCACCACTGTGGGACCTGGAGCTTGTGTCACTTCCGGTGTGGACACCTTCCACCTCAGCAATGGCTCACCTCATAAAAGGCCCAGCCACTGCTTGTCTCTGCCTTCCTCAAGAGAGCATTGTAGGAGCTGCGGCAATGATGCCTCCCACACAAAAGCATGGGGACCTGAGCTCTGGTCCCCAGCATCCATGTAAAAGCCAGGGCTGGTGTGTGCACCTGCAACCCCAGCAGTGGGGGAAAGGCAGGCAAATCCTGAGGACTCACCGACCAACCAGTCTAGCCAACTGATGATCTTTGGGTTCACTGAGCAGTTCAGTCTCAAAAAATAAGGTTAGAGGGGCTGGAGAGATGGCTCAGCAGTTAAGAGCACTGGCTGCTTTTGCAGAGGACCTGGCTTCAGTTCCCAGCACCCACCTGATGGCTAACAACTATATGTAACTCCAGTTCCAGGGTCTTCTGGCCTCCCTGGGTATTGCACACGTGAGTGCACATATACACGCGGGCCTCACACTTATACACATGAAAATGTTTTTTAAAATGTTGGAGAGTGATAGAGGGTAAGACTTGACACTGAACTGTGACTTCCACATGCATACATACATGTGCACCAGCGCACGTGCGTGCACAGACATACACACACACACACACACACACACACACACACACACACAGGGATTAAAAAAATGGCTACCAAGCAAAAACTAAAGAATGACTTGTGGTAGACGTGTAGACAGCCTGGGGAAGCTTATAGATTCCAGAACACAGCACAGGGAGGCTGAGTGTAGACCTCGGCTCCTTCCCTCACAGAGCAGGCCCTCAAATGGCTCAGTGGTCAAAAGTGCTTACTGCTTTGCCAGAGGACCCAGTATCCAAGTCAGGTAGCTCAAAACTGCCTGTAATTCCACCTCCAGGGGATCTGACACCCTCTGCCAGTCTCTTCAGACATATCCTCCCAACAGATACACATAAATAAAAAAAATTTTTTTTAAAATGGAGTCTCACTATGCATCCTTGGCTGCCCTCGAACTTGCTACATAGACCCAGCTGGCCTCAAACTCGCAGAGATCGCCTGCCTCTGCCTCCCGAGTGCTGGGATTAAAGGCATGTGCTAGGATACCTGGCAAAAATAAACATTTTTTTTTAAAGTATGCAAGGTCTCCTCTGCAGTCTATCAGAGGTTACCCCTAGAAATTCATCATAAAAAAGTAATGCACAAGATAGTTCTTTTGTTGGCTACGAATATGAAACCACCTAAGTACCCTACACCGAAGAAGTAACTTGTGAGACATACTTTCCATAACACACCACACGGACTGAAATGTCCCTCAAAGTGTCTTGACTTATGTTGTAGTTTGAGTGCAAAGTGTGGTTTCATATCCCCCATAGGCTCAAGTGTTTGAACACTTGGTCCCCAGTTGGTGGCGCTGCTTAGGAAGGGTATAGAACTTTCAGTGGTTAGAACATTCCTGGAGGAAGTACGTCACTAAGGGCCTTATAACCTGACTCCATTTCCTGTTCTCTGCTTTCATGCCCCTACTGCCTCGATGAACTGCAACCCTTCAGACCCATATGCCAAAATAAGCCCTTTCTCCCTGAAGTGTTTTATTTAGCAACAGAAAAGTAACTAAGACAACACAATGAGAGTCACAGCTCATTCTTCAGCAAAAATAAAGAACACGAAAAGAGGGCTGGCAAGATTGCTTAGTGGATAAAGGTGCTTGCTGCCAGGCCTCATGACCTGAGTTAGATTGCTGGCACCTCCAAGTTGTAAAACGGATAAACCACTTCTGTAAGTTGTCCTTGACCTCTACACGTGTGCCATGACAGATGCACACCACCCCCACTATAAAAAAATGTGAAAAAGCCAGACATGGCAGCACATGCCTTTGATTCCAGCACTTGGGAGGCAGAGGCAGGCGGATCTCTGTGAGTTCAAGGCCAGCCTGGTCTACATAGTGAGTTTCAGGACAGCTGGGGCTACAGGGAGACCCTGTCTTAAAAAGACCAAAAAGAAAGAAAGAAAAGAGAGAGAGAGAGAGAGAGAAAGAAAGAAAGAAGACCAAAAAATGTGAAAAAAAACCACAAAAGTATATTCCATTTAATTTTTAACAAAATATTTAATTTTTTGCATTAAAACTTTACCACAAAAGTATATTCCATTTAATTTTTAACAAAATAATTTTTTGCATTAAAACTTTAGATAAATATGCTTCAAAATATTAATAGTTCTTATCTCTGGGGCAAATTTAGTCCTTTATCGAGTTGGGTATGTTAGCACATGCTCATGATCCCAGCACTCAGGAGGCTGAGGCATGAGTTCAAGGTCAGGCTACCTGGGGAGACCCCGCCCCTCCAGGTAATAAAACAATATTGTATTTATTTTCCTTAGCTTGTATGTTTTACCGTTTTTCTCAGAGTGAGAAGTATTGGTGCAGTAATAAGTTGATAGGTTGGTGACTTGTCAGCCAAGTTGATGACCTGCGGACTGGGGTTGGCTCCTCTGTCAGATGGCCCCAAATGGCTTCGGGTACCTTCGGACAGGCTTGGAACAACCTAGAAAGAGCGAGAAGGGGAGGGAGAACAAACTCCATCCACTCGCTTGCTCCTGGGCCGGCAAAGGAAGGGCACTTCTTGGGGTGATCCTGATGGCCACACTCCGGAGGTTGCTGGCTACACGCTTACACCCACATCTTGTCCCCACCCTGTCCTTGCTGAGAAAACAATAGAGTGGCTCTCACTGTCTTCTCCAGAGTCTTTGGTGGGAGCTGAGTCCAAGCATCATGGTGGGCCCAGGTCCCATCTCTGTAAGGCGAGGTGAGGAGGAGACCTCTGTGGTGTAGCAGGGGGCAGTGGAGGTGGAGGTTGCTGGCCCCAAGGACCCAATTGGCTCCTCCCAAGTGGCTCCTCCGTCTGCTGCAGAGTGGGCCATCCTGTGACCCCTTTTCAGGGACCTGAAGCACATCTTTCCAGAACTGCCTGTGGTACAGACAGAGCAGGGGTTGCCTGAGGAAGCAGCTGCCACAGGGACCAACCTGTGCCCCCCAGCAAGCCTTCCTGAGGTAGGCCACCAGCTTGCTTCAGAGCCCTCCTCCCACCCCACCCCCAACCCCTGCCACCTGCCTGTATGTGAGGGGTAATTCTGTCTGTTGACCAGTGCCAAGTCCTCACGGGCAGAGCTCTGGGTGGCTCCAGGCTCGGCCTCACTGCCTACCTGGTCGTCTTGGGTGACTCTTTGGCTCACACTGAACTTTAGTTTCCTCATCTCCAAACAGGACTGTAACAGGACCCAGCGCTTAGAATCCTGACAATTCCACAGGAAAATATGCCAGGTATTCAACTACCTATGACTGACACAGGACTTTGGTGCTTGGTGACAAAGACTTAGTTAGGACTGAATCATTGCGCGCAGGCCTATTCAGGTCAAGTTTCCTGTTTCCTCTTCCTCACGTTGGGAAACTGAGCCTCCTGACTCCCAAGGAAAAAGGAGTCATACTCCCTAGACAGGCTCTGGGCACACCTGCCATCCCTCCCCATCTGAGTCTCTCCCAACTTTGGTTTCTGGCAGGAGGGACAGGGTCAGGGGAAGGGGCAGGGGACAGCTACCTTGACATGGTTGCCCGGTTCCCGGCTCGAAAGTGGAGGTCCTCGATCTCCTGTCGCAGGGTGGTATTTTTCAACGCTAACATCAGATTTTTTTCTTTCTGTAACAAATCAAGGAGTCTGGAAATGTGCCAAGGTCATGGGACACAGCTCATGTTATAACCTCCCCCAGACACTGGTTCTTTCTAGATTAGGGTTTCCTTTTGTGGAGCAAGAAGCTAACCTAAAATAAAACCAAAGCGTTAAGAAAGGCCTGCTGGCCGGGCGTGGTGGCGCACGCCTTTAGTCCCAGCACTTGGGAGGCAGAGGCAGGCGGATCTCTGTGAGTTCAAGGCCAGCCTGGTCTACATAGTGAGTTCCAGCTGGGGTTACAGAGAGACCCTGCCTCAAA